TAGGAGGGCAGCAGGAGGCCCCAGCAGGAGGCCAGTAGGAGGGCAGCTGGAGGCCCCAGCAGGAGGCCCCAGCAGGAGGCCAGTAGGAGCGCAGCAGGAGGCCAGTAGGAGGACAAGAACAGGGCCCCAGCAGGAGGCCAGTAGAAGGGCAGCAGAAGGCCAGCAGGAGGCCTCAGCTGGAGGGCTTCCAGCCACTGGCTCAGACGGTCTCTGATCTGATGAATCTGAGAGCACACAGTGACCGAACACCTGCCTTATTTAGACTCTCTGAATTTTTTAATCCAGACTACTTTTAACTTTTTTTACTGAAAATTTCTTTTTTTTTTTTTTTTCCTGTTCCGCTCGGTGTTTCACTGTCCGCTAACACTTTTCCTGCTGCCGTAGAGACGCTGGCCATGAAGGGACTGACCCTCAACTGTCTGGGGAAGAAGGAGGAGGCCTACGAGCTGGTGAGGCGAGGCCTCCGCAACGACCTCAGGAGCCACGTCTGTATCCTTTCAGCCCCCAGCTGCCGGGACCCGCTCCGGTCTCCCCTCTCGCCTTTTGTAAAACGCTGCACAGCGGTTCTCTTCCTGAATGCGGGTGCCCCCCCCTCCACCCCCAGGCTGGCACGTGTACGGCCTGCTGCAGCGCTCGGATAAAAAGTACGACGAGGCCATCAAGTGCTACCGCAACGCCCTGAAGTGGGACAAAGACAACCTGCAGATCCTCCGAGACTTGTCCCTGCTGCAGATCCAGATGAGGGACCTGGAGGGATACAGGGTGAGAGCCCCCCCACACACAGATGGGTTGGGTAGGGCATCTGAGGGCCTTTAGAGGGTCACAAAGCTTCAGATTCTGAGCTCCACCGTAGGCTTGTCACGATACGAAAATGTTCAACTCGACACACGATACTCAGGAAAATACTTGAAACCATTTTCGATACCATAAGAATAAAAACAAAGACCCCAAAATGTAACTGAATTTCGAAAGGTTTGTGTCTTTGGTTTCAAACTGACCTGTTACTGATGTTATGGTGGCCGGTGGCCCACATTAATGTTGACGTGTTACTATTAGCCATTAGCCACAGCTAGCAATTCAAGGCTAACTTCACGCTAACGATCATAAACAACGTAAATAAATAAACACCTCATAGAGAAGGGGCTCGGCGTCGGTAGGTCAGCGTCGCGATACTTTTGAAAACGAGTATCCGGGGTCCTGGCCAAACGTTTGTTGCGTGTGTCTTTAGGAAACGCGGTACCAGCTGCTGCAGCTGCGCCCGGCCCAGCGGGCCTCCTGGATCGGCTACGCCGTGGCCTACCACCTGCTGGAGGACTTTGAGATGGCCGCCAAGATCGTGGAAGAGTTCCGCAAAACGCAACAGGTGAGCGGCGCTTTTGCTGGTGCTCCACCGTCACTCCGGAGGCTCCGCCCGCTGCAGAGGCTCCGCCCTCTGGCAGCCCGTTAGCCACATTAAAGGGACATGGTGTAGGAATTTCTCCATCTAACGGCGAAATTGCATTTTACGTTCTAACAAATCTGCTCTCTAGTGCCTCCCGTTTTCAAATGGGTATTGCAGCAAGTTTACGATAACATGACTTCCACATCATCCGGTTTTCTGTGGTTGATGAGGTTTGAAATGACATTTTTTAAAAAGAAATTGAAATGAATTAAATTAGTTTAAAAGAAATTTCACGTGACTGAAAACGCGTTGTGGATTAGCTAGACATGCAGACTAGTGCTTTATGTCCCTCTCTGCCATTCTAGTTTTTCAAAATGGCGGAACGCCATAGAAACCTCCGTGGACTTACCCATGATGTGTAGATACAGATAGGAAATTTTTCACTTATGAGTTGAAGTCAGATCATTGCAGAGGTCTTTTTACACCAAATGAGGACACATTTATAATGATTTTATCTAATAAAATACCTCAAAAACTACACAATGTCCCTTTTTAAAGGAAGCAGTCCTCCCACACCGAGGCTCAGCCGGCACATTGTCGTCTCTGCTCGGGTCCAAACGATGTCACTGACCCATCTTTCTGCCAGGAACTCATTAGTGATGGGAAAACCGCCCTGATTAAATGCTAATGGGAAACAAGCAAAGAGGATCTGGGGTCATTTGATGATCCCGGTCGCCTCCTCCTCTTTCCTCATCTGTGCTTTGTGTGCTCCCGCCCAGACGTCTCCAGACAAGGTGGACTACGAGTACAGCGAGCTCCTGCTGTACCAGAACCAGGTCCTGAGGGAGGCCGGCCTGTACAAGGAGGCCCTGGATCACCTCAACGACTACGAGAAACAGATCTGCGACAAGCTGGCCGTGGAGGAGACCAGAGGTGGGCCGCCCGCGTCCGCCCGTGCGCCCGGCCCGTCTGAGGGCGGGGACGCGTCGCCACGCCGCTCCCTGACGGCCGCCGCACCGGCGGAAACGCGATTCTGTAGGTCTCCCATGTGCGTGCGTTTGCAGGGGAGGTGCTGCTGAAGCTGGAGAGGCCCGAGGAGGCCTCGGAAGTCTACCGACGCCTCCAGGAGAGGAACCCCGAAAACTGGGCCTACTACCAGGGCCTGGAGAAAGCCTTGAATCCAGGTGAGCGCCGTGTCTCTCCGCCGGGGCGGGTGTCCAATGGAGCGGAAGGTCCATCCACTAAAAGCGGAGTTAGAAAAGGAGCCACGAGTTAGCCTCTTCTGATCCGTCAGTGGAAGCCGGATGAGATTCAGTTTGGTCTGGGCTGTTTCCTAAAAGTTTATCATGCAGCCAAATCGCCAAAGCCGAAAGTTGAAATCTGTCCAACGATGATGCTTCTGATGTGAATGACCTGCAGAGCTCTTCCCAAAGACACATTTGGCTTTAATTGAACTGTAAAACACCCCGAATGGAGCGGGATCTTTGCATTTAGCTGGCCGGCCGAAGGCCCGAGGGGGGCGTGTCTGTCTTTTCTCCTCATTTCCTCTTTTCTCACCTGGTCTTTGCCCGTCCCCGTGTGTCCTCAGGCAGCACAGAGGAGCGCCTCAAGATCTACGAGGATTCCTGGGTGAAGTTTCCTAAAGGTTTGGTTCCCCGGAGGCTGCCCCTCAATTTCCTGACAGGTAAGTGCAGCTCGCTCCCTTCCGCATGTCTGACATGGGGATAGCTGAGGGGGGGGCTACAGTTTAACATATCTTGCCAGGGTTAACCAGTGAAGTTCAGTGACCAGAAGGGGGACGTGAGAGTTTTTGGGCTGATTGAAGACCAGACAAACACGCCACCGCGTTCTAGCTCATTTGGAGCGGTTTTACCGTCCAGGCTGGGACACCGGTCAGGAGCCCGTTACAATAGTGAAGGCGGGAGATGACCACAGACTGTGTCAGGAGCTGGGCAGCACTGTGTCGCTGCAGCCGTTACACTGCAGTTAAAATGGCTCCCTGTCTCATCCCGTGTGTTGTGTTGGCCAGGGGAGACGTTCCGGGAGTGTCTGGACAGCTACCTGAGGATGAACTTCAGCAAGGGCTGCCCGCCCGTCTTCACCACCCTAAAGTCCCTCTACACAGACAAATCAAAGGCGAGTATGGCGAGCTGCCGGACGAAAAAGCCCCCCACTCCACCCACCCACCCTGACAGTTGGCAACTGCTTTCGTCCCACGCAGGTGTACATAATCGAAGACCTAGTGGTTGGCTACGAGAGCTGTTTAAAAAGCTGCCAGATGTTTAGTGAAAACGGTAAGTGCTCCTCCACTCCCCTGTTCCGCTCAGTGCCGTAACAAAGGAGGCCCAACGTTCCCCGTGTGTGCAGACGACGGGAAGGAGGAGCCCCCCACCACCCTGTTGTGGGTCCAGTACTTCCTGGCGCAGCACTTTGACTTCATCGACCGGCCCAGCCTGGCCCTGGACTACATCAACAGCGCCATCGACAGCACCCCCACGCTCATTGAGCTCTTCCTCATCAAGGCAAAGATCTTCAAGGTAAGTACCAGCGCACGCGTCCACAGACGGCATGGCGGTATGTTTGTGCCCCCCCCCCCCCACTGACCCGTTTGTGTTCCCCGCAGCACGCAGGCAACATCAAAGAGGCGGCCCGGTGGATGGACGAGGCCCAGGCGCTGGACACCGCCGACCGCTTCATCAACTCCAAGTGCGCCAAGTACATGCTGAAGGCCGGCCTGGTCAAGGAGGCTGAGGAGATGTGCTCCAAGTTCACACGGGTAGGCCTGCCCGGGAGAGAACCCACAGAGAACCGGGAGAGAACCCACAGACACAGGAGAACATGCAGACTCCACACAGAAAGGTCCTGGTTCCCCCAGGGACTAGAACCCAGAACCTTCTGGCTGTGAGGCGATGGTGCTGTGGTTTAAGCATTTAGACTGAGAAAAGACGTCTGGATTCGGTGGGAACACTATGGGGGCAGGACGCACCTATGCGGTCATTGGATGGCCGCCTTTGCGGGGCCTCTGCACAGATGTGGTCCACTTAGAAGCTCCGCTAACTCCCCGTTGGTGTTTCAGGAGGGGACGTCCGCCGTGGAGAACCTGAACGAGATGCAGTGCATGTGGTTCCAGACGGAGTGCGCTCTGGCCTACAAGGCCATGAGCAAACTCGGCGAGGCCCTGAAGAAGTGCCACGAGATCGAGCGGGTGAGTTCTCCCACCTCCACAGAGACGGTCAGTCCTGTTGTGGACCGACCGTCTGAGGCCGGCAGCTGGTGGGGATTTGACCGTCTCCTCCCCCTCTTTCAGCATTTTGTGGAGATCACCGACGACCAGTTTGACTTCCACACGTACTGCATGAGGAAGATGACGTTGCGCTCCTACGTGGACCTGCTGAAGCTGGAGGACGTCCTGCGGCAGCACCCCTTCTACTACAAGGCGGCTCGGAGCGCCATCCAGATCTACCTGGCCCTCCACGACAAACCCCTGAAGGACGACAACAAGGAGAGCCAGGCCGACACCGGTGAGCCTGCCTCACTAGAAACCTCCCGTTAAGACATCCCAGAATCCCAGAGTCTCTGTAGGAGATACCAGGGTGGTGGGGGTTCCCGTTGGGTTCTGGGTTTGACTCCTGGGTTAAATGGGTTTTTAAAACCAAAACCTCTTTTTAATTTTCTTTTTAAAAACATTTTTTTAGAAAACCTCACAGACAAGGAATTGAAAAAACTGCGCAACAAACAGCGGCGAGCTCAGAAGAAGGCCCAGTTGGAGGAAGAGAAGAAAAACGCTGAGAAGGAGAAGCAGCTAAAGAATCAGAAGAAGAAGAAGGAGGACGACGACGAGGAGATAGGAGGGCCGAAGGAAGAGCTCGTGCCCGAGAAGTTAGCTAAGGTGAGGCTTGACGATTCGGCCAGCTGGTCACCGGCATCGGGGGTAACGAGTCCTAAAAGAACGTGTGGGAACTCTTGTCTCACCAGCCAGAGAATCCTTTGGAAGAGGCCGTCAAGTTCCTGATTCCCCTTAAAAACCTGGTGCGCAATAAGATCGAGACCCACCTGCTGGCCTTTGAAATCTACTTCAGGAAAGGTCAGGTCGCTACGCCTCTACGTCGGCTCGTTTTCTTTGGCCCCCGGTGGTACTTCCTGTCGTTCATCCGACAGCAGGACCCAGGAGGGTGACGGTTTTGTCTCATTTCAGAGAAGTACCTGCTGATGCTGCAGTCCATAAAGAGGGCCGTCCTCATAGAGCCCTCCAACCCCTGGCTGCACCAGTGCTTGGTGCGCTTCTTCAGAGGAGGTGAGGCACGAGCCGGGCCGCCGACGGGGATGTCGCACACACACACACACACACCCGTAGATGACCGTCTGGGCTCTGCCTGTCCGCAGTGAGCGAGAGCAGCGACCTGGCCGAGGCGGTGAGGACGGTGCTGAAGCAGGAGATCTGCAGGCTGTTCGGGGAGAGCAACCCCCGGAGCTTCAACAAGAGCTTCCTTAGCCAACACTCCGGCTCCATCCCGCACCGCCTGGCCGGTAAACCACACACACACACACACACACGCACACACACAGGCAGAGGGCAGACTCACCCTGCCTTGAGCTGCACAGGGCTGGTTCTGGCTGGAGCTGGTTATGGCTGTACCCTGATGGCGGTTGACGCTATCCGTGCTGTACCCTGATGGCCCCCGCATCTGTCTTGTTCCCCCCCCCCCCCCCGCTAAGATGATGGTTTACCTGGAGCCCCCCTCTGACAAAATGGCCTGCGAGATAGCCACGGCTCTGGACGAGTCCCTGACCGGGAGAAGCATCCAGGTAGGCCCAACATGAGCAGTAGGGATGTCCAGATCCAGCTTTTTTTCACTTCCGACCTGATACTCATCCCGGCCTATCAGAGCATGTATTAAGGTTTGAAGTTATTTAGCCTTGTGACTTAGTTGTCAGACTCATGTTGAACAGGGATTTACTCTGATAACAACTAAATGGTTAGGACACAGACCTGTGGGTTACAGATGCTAATGTGGGACCGGACTTTAAAATAAAAAAACTGGATCGGCATTTTCGCCTGCCGGCCGATACGCATTTTTTTGCGGATATCGGCTGTCAATCTAAATATCTGATCGGGACAAGCCTAATTAGCATGTCGCACACGTTTCCACTGAGGGTCACGAGTGTGTCTGTGTTTGTGTGTGTGTGTGTGTAGATCTGCACAGAGGTCCTGGAGGCTCTGCGGGAGGGCCAGCTGGGCGAGGGCCAACAGAAGGCGGCCGAGGCCTACCGGGCCACCTGCCAAAAGATGTACCCCTACTGCCTGGCCTTCATGCCCCCGGGCCACCAGGACAACAGCACCGCCATCAGCGCCAACGGCGACCTGTCGGCGGGGGAGCACGACGACACGGCCAACGAGATGTGAGCCCGCAGCCCGAGGGAGGAAGAGGAGCAGGTGCTCGCACGCTGCCAGACGCCTTAGTCCACCAACAGAGCCGTTCCCTCCCCCCCAATGCCTGCCCGCCCCCCCCCCCCCTCCAGTTCCTGGGCTTTGGCTGCTGTGAGTCACCCTCCCCCCCCCCCCCCCCCCCACATTGCACTGATCTGGATGGACCGAGAACCACAGGAGCACCGGGAAGGGATACCGGCCCACTTCACTTTTTGAAAACAATAGCAGCAGGCCGTGTCCGCAGCCCGCCTGCCGCCCAGCGCCTCGCCTGGGGAGACAAAGGATTGTGGGAGGAGTGGATTTCTGATGGCTGAGATGGCTCCTGTAAAACACAGTCTAGGTTTTCTAAGACTCTCGTGTTTTCACGCCATGTCCTTCTTGTAGGCGCATCTGCTTCTCACGTTTTTAAAAGTAATTTATATATTACAAACTGACAAATGGATAATAAAACGATGTTTGCAAAACCAATGGGTGCCACTGTGGTAGTGCTGGTGATGTGGCTGTGCTTCCTCCTCAGGGTGACGCTGGGGCCCCTCCTCCCTCCTCCTCCTCCGCTGTCTCCCGTTTGCTTTTCCACACACCGGTTTTACAAACACACCGAAACACGAGCTAAGCCAAAGCGACACCCAGCTGAACCCTCACCTTTTTCCCTCACTGGAAATAAATAAAACTCTCCCATTTGGAGCCGGCCTCTGCAGTGGTGGACTTCTGTCTCCAGCTGGCACTTGTGGAACATTTCTATACAGAGTAAAGAGGTTTTCCGCCGTATATCGACACCACTGCCTGTCTCAGACACTCCAGCAAGTGGCTTTTTTATTTGTTAAAATGACGAAGCAGAAGGTTGAGTCCTGACTGGCCACTGCCTTTTCCCCGCTTCACCTGGAGCAGGTGTTGTGGATGAAGTCCTACAGCTTGGCCGGCTGCCTGTCCCCGTCCGGAGCCGCCCCCTGCCCGGTCTCCTGGGAGACGAGGAAGGCGTGGTGCTGGTAGAGGTGGGAGGTGATGAACTCGGGGAAGTGTCTCCTCAGGACCACCTCCAGGAACGCGTGGGCTGCTGTGTGTAGCCTCTGCCGGGCCCTGAGGAGGACAGGCAGGCGTGAGGGACGTCCCCAGGCGGGGAACCACGGAGGAACCTCAGGTTTTGAGGCGTCCGGTGGTCTGGCTTACCTTGCTGAGGGAAGGCGTACACACAGCTCCGTGGTGAGCTCCTTGGCCAGGTCGGTCACCAGCCGCCTGCTCACCACCCTGTTGTCGTCCTCCAGCCGGGCCTGGTGGCGGATCCACTGCCACACCTTCCAAACACAGTATAACGGTGAGGAAAGGCCTAACCCTAACCCTCCTCTCGCTCCGGCTCACTCCTGTGCAGCCAGGTTTCATTTGGCCTTTGGACTTTTGTCTACTACCCGGTCCTGTACGCCCGTCTGTGGTTTGCAAAAACCCAGTCAAAGTTCCTTTGGCTCTCAGGAGGTTTCTCAATTGAAATTGTAAGGAAAGACATTCAAACGACAGTCTTCCACTATTCCCCAGCATCTTCCTACCAGCTGCCAATGGTGACTTCTAAAACCAGTATAGACAGACATGTGTCTGTGCTGGTTCTGGTGGATCTGGTGGTGCTGTTTGGTACCACTGATCCCAGCCAACATCATGTTATCTGGATTATTGGGATGATTTAGGATACTTTAAGTCAGATTTGTCCAACATATTCCAGTTTGAGTAAATGAAGAATCTTATGAGTTTCTCAGGACAATTGTAAACGGACGTCTATTATAAAGTGGGAAATTGTGGATTAGAATTTGATTTAATTATGCTAATAATCCCTGTTCATGGTCTTTTTCAAGTGTGTTGGGAATTTGCAAAATAAGAATAAACTCATTGGTGGGTGAACGAGAGAACTCTCATCTTTCCTGTGACTCGTGTATAACCCTAAATGCACCTGGGATCTGGAGATCTCTGCCGTGGCTGAATCTTCAACCTGACCCCTGAAGAAGAAGTGGCCTTTCCCTGAAAAACAGACAGTCGTTCGGCAGCCAGCCTTGGAGCAGCGGGCCCCCCTACCCAGTTCTGTACTCACCTGAGAGCCAAGCGTCGATAAAGAGGACACCTACTGCGATGTTGTACTTCAAACCATAGAGGGTGACTCCTCCCTGTAGAGGAACGCAGTATGAAACATACATAACCCACCTTCACTGCTGGGCTGGAGCTGCTTAGGGGGCGGGTGCCTTTTTTTGACCCAGTTCCTTTCCTCGTACTGCCGTCATGTAGGAATTCTCCCGAATTCCCCAGCGGTCAGCAGGCTTAATGCACTATTTAGGGACGAGGCGTTGTGTCGGTTAATGGGAAACGGAGAGACTGACCGAGGGCATGGACAGCAGGTCCTCAGGAGTCACCGACACGTCCTCTCGAAGCTGGTGAAGCTGGTTATCGGCTTCAGTGTGGGTTCTGAAGAGCTGGAAGACAAGGACCTCGGTTCAGATCGGTCGGTGATGCAAACCCTTTTGGTAACGAACAGAAAGGTTAGCGGATGGAACGAGTATCTGTGGTGGGACTTCCCAGAAACAGCAGGAGGAACTAACAGACGCGGTAAGATGGAGGACGAAGCGCTCGGACTTTACCTCCTGCATGGGCTGGACCAGATTCAGGTCGTACACCATGAAGCCATCGACACCTGCCTGGATTTCCAGCATCTTCAGCCTGAAAGGTGGGAGAGATGAGCCAGCCGGCGTTTGTGAACGTGAGCCTGAACTCCAGTCACTAACAGTGTTGCCACCAGGGTTCCAATATGGCTGACTGAGGTTTGACTTTCATCTGTGGAACAGAAAGTGGACTATGCGGTAAATGACTGACCCATCCTGTTTGTGAGCAGCTGTGTGGCCTCTCCCAATGGACTCGTCTAAATGAGTCAACACAGAAAATAAGGTTTAATATAAGGAACCAAATAAACGTTTTCATTTAGCTGAATTGGCCATGAATTGATCTTCTTATGCTCAATGTTTGTTTAAAACACTGAAAACATTTTTGTGTGATTGTGGCTTCCTCCCACAATCCAAAAACCTGCATGTTTGCTTGATTGGACATTCCAAATGTCCCTAAGGAGTGAGTGTGTGTGGTTGTTGGTCCTTGTGTGTCTCTGTGTGGCCCTGTGATGGACTGGTGGACCGTCCAGGGTGACCCCTCCTCTCACCCATTGACTACTGGGATAGGCTCCAGTACCCCTGCAACCCCATTAGGGGATAATGATAACGGATGTTTGACTGAATAGTGTATGAGACTCCTTCAGCCATAAAGCCTGGTTACTGCTAGCTTCACGCAGGAACGCAAACAGGAATGTGTGCATCCAGAGATGCCGGAACCTTTTCACGGAGGCCAGCACTCTCCCGTGGGAGTCCGAGGGCCTTCCCTGAGGCAGCAGCAGAGCGGCCATGCCCCCCGTGGCCAGCGCTCCCCGCCGATGGCACGTCTGGACCAGCAGGTCCATGTAGCTGTGCAGGAAGCGCTTCTCCATGTTGACGTATTTGCTGCGGTCGGGGAGCAGGAAGGCCCGGCGGTGACCTGGACGGAGAGCAGCGGACTTTTAGAAACTCTCGGCAGAAAGAGCCCGTCTCTCTGACCGGGAGAGCCAGGGTTGGGGTTAGGGTGTGCGCTTTGCTAACCGCGAGAGCATGAGCCTCACCAAACTTGTTGACAAAAGACGCAGAGTAATCCCAGAGGCCGCAGTTGAGCCCTGCCGAATGCTCCCGCAGCTCGTAGAGGATCTCCTCCATCTCGAACGCGGCCAGCACGTTCTCAATCAGCACCGTTGCCTTGATGCTCCCCAGAGGAAGGCCCAGCTACACACACACATACACACATACATATATGTTCAAAAGCTTGGCTTCAAACTTTTGAGTTGTGCTTTCTCACTTTATCAACAAAGTTTTTGGTGTTTTGTCAGGCTTGGTTAACTATGTGGTTTTAAACGAATGGAAACCTAATTACTGAGTAAAAAAACCCAAGCTCATCTGATGAAACGCTGGCGTTTCTATTCAAACAAATGTACTGAAAATAAAGACCTTCTGCTGTGTCCAGACAAATATCTTGTTCCAAAGCCTGGCTTCTGTGAAGCTTTCCACCTGCGAGAAGGAAAGCAAAACTGAAGCCCACATCACACGAACAAACACAGGAAGTTTCTCAGACGACTCAATGGGCCGTGCACTACATATATTTAGGCGTTTGAATTCTGTAGGTCACGCCTGTCAGTTTGTTTAGGACAGCATGAGTCTGAAAACATCTCACTAAATAAGCCAAAGATAGAGGCCACTGACTCCCTCCCAGAGTAAATCTGCAGCTTTTCCTTCTTCATTTCTTCCTAAACTTTGCAACTTTGTATCAAACTCCCTTTGTGTGCACCCAGAGATGCTTAAACAAGATACAATATAACACAAGATAAGTCTCTCAATGGAGACAAACAGTGACTCTGTACTGATTACCAGAAGGCTGACAACTCTTTGATTCTTGGAGCTCTAGAGCTAGAAACGGATCAAAATGTCAGAATGTGAAAACTAAATGGACCTTCTGCTTGTTTTGTGTGGCTCTTGCGCTCCACTAGTGTAATTATTCATATGAAAGTGCACTGAGATTAAATTCTGCTCAAATTCAGTTTTGCTGCCGGCTGACCAAATAACTTAAGAAGACATTTAAAGAACGTGTTTGCGAGCATCACGCCTCACAGCATGAGCATGCATGTTAATGCAGCTTCCTCTCACAATAAAAAAACATGCATGTTTGTTCATTCGAAGCCAAGAGTTGGAAAAAGTAGGTATAGAAATTTTTTGCATGGAAATCCTGAAAATGGCCTCCTCACAAATATACAATCAGGTGTTGAAAAGACTGAATTTCAGTCCAGTGATCGTTTCGGCCTGCGTGTGTGCGCGTGAGTGTGTATGTGTGTGTGTGTATTACTTTTGACAGGTAGAAAAAAGGTCCACTCTTTTGCTGGAACAATGTCTGCCCACAGTGAAACATGAGAAGTCCGAAGTCAAAGAGAGGTCCAGGAGCCACCTTCCCCTCCACCTGTTGGAAGAAGACAGGAAACGTCCACAACTACCTATGAGCTATTTCTTTATTTATTTAGAGAATGAAAAGACTGTTGCTTGATTCTATTAAGTTCTGATCAGTTTTAGACTCCGTTTACGGCCAAATTTGGTGCACCCTTTCTATTCAATTTAAGGCCAAAATAAGAAAAGGTTGGCTAGGAAAGGACCCGAGCTATGGCTTCTTTTCTGTGCCGTGAAGTTTGAAGTGACCTTTTCAGTCTGTGATATCTGTATGATGTGGGACTGACAAATTCAAAAATGAATTGATAATATATAATACTTTGGAAATTAAACAGAATTCAAACTAAATGTATGAAAAAAATACAATATCTGGAGCATGAAAGGGGAAACTTGATGGTAACGAACTGTCTCATAATTCAAAAGTCCAGCCCTGAATGGATAAAGTCAACTGAAATAGAGAGATGCATCACCATCATGTTGTGCTCCACCATGTTCCACGCACGGGGACGCAGCATCAGCACCGGAGCCTCGGATACGTGGGGAAGACCTGCTCTCGCGATGAGAGGCGAAAGAGAAGCAAAGCTCATAGCAACGACAGTACAGGTACTCCTAATGGATCCACAAATATGTTGTTGTACACATATGAGGATCCTGGAGTGAAGGACTCACCCGGGAACTGGTTGTTCGCAGCCCGCGTGACGTTATGAATGCCTTTGATCTGGTTGTAAAATGTGGGGCAGTTCCCGTCATCGAAGTCGACCTGAGGAGAGGATTTCACCGTCTATAGCGGCACTAGAACAGTGGCTGAATAGAGGCCGACTGGCCTTACGGATATACGGGCAGTTTTCGATTTGAACAAGACGGGTAGCATCTCTGAAGGACCTCTTCCGGGTTTGGAAGTATGAAGTAGGAGTCGAGGGTGAGCTCAAAGCCAGGGCATCAGGAAGATCAGCTCCCTGGGCTCGTACATATTTATTTAGGATTTGAAGGATGATAGGGTACCTGTATGCCCTGCGCCGGTGACTGTAGAGCTCTGATGAAGCGCTGTGTGTCACAGGGGGCCATATCCCCAATATCCACATGCCTCTTTTGGAGCCTGACCGGGACGGGTAGCACCTTCCAGCCTGGATCTCTCCTGATATGCGCAGTGCTTTCCAGGAAGTTCGGCAGTTCGCCCGAAAGGTCCAAGTGGGCCTTTCTGGACACTCTCAGCTGGAGGATCTACAGAGAAAAAGATACGGGTGGATACTGTAACTCGAGATGCCTTTAGAGGGTAATTCGGTCCATAAAAATAGTTTTTTTTATTTCTGCTACCTGATCCACCTCCTCGTCGAATGTGGATATCAGCTCGTGCAGGAAGTGGAGACAGTCGGTGGTGAAGAGGGCAGCATATTCTGCCTCCAGGCCGCAGGGAGGCGGGGACAGCTCCATGGTGATTTGACTGGGTGGCCGGCGAGTTTGCCGTCGTTAATTTTGGCTGTTTCCCCTTATGGCAAAGAAGGCATGGCAGAAAGATTTAAAAAACGATTAACCTTTCACATGTGCAGGAATTGTTTCTAAATTTTAAGCTGAAAGCTGTCTGTCCATCCATCCATTATCGTAACCGCTTATTCCCTAATGGGGTCGCAGAGCCTATCCCAGTAGTCGATGGGCGAGATTGGATGGTCTCCAGTCCATCGCAGGGCTACACAGAGACACACAAGGACCAACAACCACGCACACTCACACTAAGGTCCAATTGGACCTAAATTAACAGGATTAATATGAATTGAGCTGTAGCAAAGAGATCCTGTGGTTGCAGAACTGGCTCAAATCCCCATTACTGTAACTTATGATGCCTTTAGAATGAATTCAGTCCATAAAAAAAGCTTGAAGTTACAGTATCTAGCCGGCTGTGCTGGCAGCTGGAATGTGGTCTTTGTGCTGAGGCACAAAGAGTTTTTAGTTTGCCAACTTTCTAAAGAAACCATACTTGCTCTCATTAGCATGCTAAGTGCGGCCAGTTGAGTCTGAGATCTAGCTCTTGGATTTTTTATTTCAGGCTGACCCTGCTGGGACAATTAACAACTCTCCTGAGTGTTTTCCACCTGTGAATATTTTTTTCCACTTTGGAAAAAGGCCTTATATTTAATCTTATGTCAGTGTAAACGTGCTGTTCATTTGAGCTCAGATTAACCTCATTTTCATTTGTGGTGATTTCCAGATTATGTTTCTATGGACAAAATGGTTAGAGTACATTGAACATTAGATTTGAAAAAAGGTGCACCAAATTTGTGACTATAAGTAAACAAATGCAAAGAAGCGGAAGTCGGAGTAGATTACATCTCTACGCTTTCTTTTTTAGAGGTTGATGTTCTATTCAGATACAGTGCTTAATATGCAAATGACTGTACAAACACCAGCTCCTGTCCTCACAGTTTTATCTCCAGGTTAGCTCACTGCCAACACAGCTGCTTCTTACCTTGCTCACACATGAATCAGCTGTTGGATTGATCATTGTAACTTTAAGGGAAGCTCCTTGCTGATTTTCTTTCTGCTAATTTCCAGGCGAAAACAGGCCAGACTCCCTTTTGCAACCACAAACCACTAAAGCAGTGACAGTTGAAACTGATTAAAGTAAATTGTTAGACACACTTTTAAAACTGCCTTACACACCACCTCATTTGAAGATAATTTTTATGCGAATGGAAATAATCAGTGATACTCACAATAGCCCTGAAGCTCGGTCTGTTGGCTTCTCTGAGGTGGACTTTGATTGTGTTTACATTTGGCCCCTGTTTGAACAGGAAGGTGTTTGGTTTAACCCGTGTTTAAAGTCCCATGTGGAAATGTCAGAGGACATGTCAAATATCATATATAATTAAATTATTCACTAAATGTATTGAAGACCAAAATAAGCAGGAATATGTTAATTCCTTGTTCCTTCACTTTGGTTCGTTCTATCCTGACGACAGCTGACACAAGTGGGGAATCGACATTAAATATGAGCACCTTGCTTTTTGCCCCACAACCATAGACGTAAACACATGTATATACAGTATGTCTATTACCTGAACGACGTCATTGGGGCCATTAGCTTGAAAATACTAATCGGAAGTCACGTGTACTTCCGCTTCCGCTTTAATTCACCTCTAGCTTGACAGCCGCAGCGGTTCCGTGTATCCATGCCATGGGTGTCAGGCTGTGTGATTAGCAACAGAACCACCTAAATGAAAAGCGATGGACGACAAGGCTCAGATTCAAGAGGCCATTAAAAGTCAAGGGGAAATTGTTCGGAAGTTGAAATCCGAGAAGGCGAACAAAGAGCAGGTCAGTGATCGTGTTTCGCACCTACGTTCGTGTGGAAGCCGGCTGGTAGCATGCGGTTAGCGTCACACCGGCTTTATTTGAGAAAAAAGGGGACCGTGTCAGCTCCTGTACCAAGCAGGCTGGTCTGCGAGGCGTCCCGCTAACCTGAGGAGAAGCGGCGTTTTTGCTCCCTTTCACGCGGTCGTCTTTTTAGCTGAAAACAAGCGATGCGTTTCTCTTAAGTTAGCAGCCGGCGGCTGACAGTAGCAAAACCTAGCATCTCTAACGGTTATTACCGGTGCCCAAAACAGAGCAGCCGCCTCGGAAGATGTTACCTTTATTTATACCTCATTCTGGCCCGTGGTTACCCGGGTGGAGCCACTGTATCTATACGGTGTAGCCAGCTGTGCTAACGCTTAGTGCTAACACCTAGTGCTAACACCTGGGGCTAAAGCGGCTACAGGCGACGGGACACACTGTCTGGTGGGACGTTTTAATGGCCAATAAACTATGTAACGGTTCCAAAACAAAGCCCGTAATTACCTGCATTAAGAGTCACGGTTAAACCACAGAGCTGACGCAATAACTCGCCTCCTTAACTCACAGAGACGTCACGGTGCGCTGCGCGTGCCGCCCCCAGAGCGGCCGCGTGCCCGCTACACGGTCCGACTGGCCACCTCCGGCTAAATGCTAGCGTCTGTTAGGTTTTAAAGGTGTTTAATAAGGACTGTGGCCAAAGATAAGAGTCACAAATGCTGTTTCCAGGACGTTGAAAAGCTGTCAGCGTCATTTCTGAGCTTTTCAGTTCCAAATCGATGTGATGCTTACATTTTGTTCTGTTTATGTTTGGATGTGTGAGTATGGCATAAGATAGTCACAGCCACCCTAAGATATAACCAGTAGGAGCCCTTTTCAAAGCACATGGCAGATAAGAAGCAGATGTACTATTCGGATTTTACATGTTTAAGCAGGTGCATCAGCAGGCACCTGGAAACCAGCAGTTGAGTTCTGATTCAGTCCTCACATGGGCCAAGGACCCATGAAGTCATTTTTATGCAACACAAAAACCAGAAGGCAACGAGGACATCAGGGCAACGATGTGCCGGCTGAACGCGGGTGCTGGACCCTGGTGTCGGTCAGTGTATGGGGCATGAACAACGTTGATTGGCACACATGATGAAACCCCAAGATGTTTGATAGACATCTGTAATATGACACTATTCACAAAGCTACTGAAACACGACTCCAACTGGAAGTGGATAAGTGTTAGATAATGAAATAAATTATTTTCAGATCTAAATCTCTATCACCAGAGATGAGCAAATGTATCCCTACAACCCACCGAACTCAGATGGAAGACTCCATCATAACAGTCTCCTTCAGATATTGTGTTAATATTAAAGAGTGGTTTTGGAAAACCACGGCATCTCCCGGGGTTCCAGCCCGTGGAGTTTTCCATTTGAACCTGCTCAGCTTCATTTTATTTCCACAAAGGGGGCAGGTGCCTCAAAGCAGCTGGGATTTGAAGACCTACTGGGCTCCCAGCAGGTTTACTGGGCTGATGGCAGACTTTACCATGGAGTCATGTGAATTGATGAGTCATGGAAGCAACTCCTTCAAATGAAATACTTTTAAATGACGGCAATGTCAAACGTTCTGTTATTTCTGTGCTCATCGACGTTGCAAACCCCCAAAACGCCGCCTAACACGCCACCCAACACCGCGGTCCAACACTGGGGCTCAGTCGGTTCGTGGTTGCTACATACGCAGGACGCCACGGGTTCATTTCTGATGGAAAACCATCTAAACGGCGTCATGGCGAGCACAGCTGAGTGGGGGCAGAGTAGATACCGTGTGTGTGTGAGCGTGTGTGTGAGCGTGTGTGTGGGCAGATACCTGACTGACACATGCATCTCGTGTTCTATCCTCCACGCCGTGGCGATGACGCCCCGCCCCCCCCCCCCTAGTGACAGGGTTGCTTACCACTTTTCTCCTGTTCTTCCTGGGCCCCGCCCTGCCTCTAACTGGGGACCTCTGCCTGACCGCCGCTCCCCCTGCTTCTGCCATCGGCCGGACAACGCCGCCGGACATGCGCCCCACGACTCGCTCCTAAACTTTTGCTCGACCGATTTCCGGACCTTTGCCCCCTTTTTTTTTTTTCTCCCCCGCCTGCTGCGGCCATGTGGACGGCGTCCTGCGTCCGGCTGTGCTCGGTCCTGACGGCCCTGGGGACGCCTACCCGTGTCCACTGGCTGCCTTCTGTCCGCGGGATCTCTGCGGCTCAGGTGGGTCCGGCGGCAGGGTCTGGTTGGGGTGGAGTTGGGGTCTCCCCCGCCATGGCTCTGAAGACAGGGGCTTGTGTGGTTGCAGATCGATGAAGAGGTGGCCAAGCTGCTGGAGCTAAAGGCCCGGCTCGGAGGAGACGATGGAAAGCATCAGTTTGTCCTCAAAACGCCAAAGGTACGAGTCCACGGAAGTGCCTCCTCTCTCACTTCTGTTTATCTTAAAGACACACCTCTTCACAGAGCATCTCCTATCCTAACCCTTCCCCATACTTCTATACCCCCTCTACTCCTCTCTGTGCTTCCTTCTCTCTCTTTGCTGTCACCACTTACTGACTAGGGATTTTCCTCTAGAGAACTCATTGTTAAATTGATAACTGGAACACATTTACTTTGTAAATTGCTTTGGATAAAAGCGTCTAAATGCAGAAACATAAACTTGAAGAATGAATGTGTTATCAACAGGATGGGCTTCTATTCAACATGAAAAATTTTCCCTCGCGGGATCAATAAAGTCTATCTTAAATCGGTGTTAAGAGGGAAAAACAACCCTTTTTTCTCTAGCTGTAGTTTAGTTATACAGTTAGACAGTTTTCTGAACATATGCCGTCCCCTTTCTGGGAATTGGCATTTAGAGATTTCCCCTTCCACAATTTAAGAGCACTTAAAAATATGATTTTTGAATCATTTTTAGCAAGTGGGAGGCACCTTTTCTTCCTGTTGTAACGCCTACTTTGTCTCCTCGGCTTTCCTTTTACTGTTCCTGATTCTGCTGCTCTGTTTGCCTTTACGGGGAAACCAAAAGTCTGTAGTGAGTCAGCACACACTCCATCACAGCTGCTGGAACCTGTGTGTCATTGGCAGGGCACAAGGGACTACAACCCCAAGCAGATGGCCATCAGGGAGAAGGTCTTCAACACCATCGTCAGCTGCTTTAAGCGCCACGGAGCAGAGACCATCGACACGCCCGTTTTTGAGTTAAAAGTAGGTCTGCCGTCGTTTTCCTCTGGAACTGAGGCTGTCGTCAGCCGGCCTTACAACACGGAGGTGAACTCTCTCTCTGCTGCCACAGGAAACGCTGACGGGGAAGTATGGAGAAGATTCCAAGCTCATCTATGACCTGAAAGACCAAGGCGGAGAGCTGCTCTCCCTCAGATACGACCTCACTGTATCCTGCTTTCTGTAGCCTAGTGTGTGTGTGTGTGTTAGAGCTGCCACTAACGACTCATTTTCTAACGACAAATCTTTCTACAAATTTTTCGATTAGTCGACTAATCTTAATGACTCATTTCCCCAAACAATCAAGGGATTGCCATTTCATTTGACTTTTTTTTTTTTACGTAATTTTGAGGTTTCGCAACTCAAAGGCCAAAACAAAATGTCACCCGTGTCAAAAGTAAACATAACATAAATAAAATAAATATTGAATAAATAAAATAAAATTTAATAAAATAAAGTGCAATAAAATTAGATAATTTCTTCTATTTTACAAAATTGCAAATGCATTCAAGTAAAAGTACCATAAAACCTTGGTGCATTATGAAAAATCCCCCGGCAGTCTGGGCCTATAGCAGCATAACTAGGGGTGGACTCACTCTATAAGCTCTATCATAAAGGAAAGTCTTGGGCTTACTCTTAAATGTAGAGATGACATCGATTAATGGCAGCAGCACTAGTGTGTCTGTGTGTTTTTTTTTGTGTGTGTGGGGACTCTCGCATACTGAGGACAGAATGGATGCAAACGGCTCGTTCCCTTGACCTCCGCTGTCAGGTGCCCTTTGCCCGCTACCTGGCCATGAACAAGATAACCAACATCAAGCGCTACCACATCGCCAAGGTGTATCGCCGCGACAACCCGGCAATGACCCGCGGGCGCTACCGAGAGTTTTACCAATGCGTGAGTCCCCGGACGAGTCTCCGGCTTTATCCTGTGAGCGGGGGGAGGAATCTGAGGCTCTGCTTTGGTCTGCGTTCCAGGATTTTGACATCGCGGGTCAGTACGACGCCATGATCCCAGACGCCGAGTGTCTGAAGATCGTCTACGAAATCCTCAGCGAGCTGGAGCTCGGGGACTTCTGCATCAAGGTGGGTGAGTCCGGCCGGGTCGCCGCTCTGCCCCGATGACGTCACCTCTGAAAACGCCCCTCCCTCCAGGTCAACGACAGACGCATCCTGGATGGGATGTTCGCCGTGTGCGGAGTCCCGGACGACAAGTTTCGCACCATCTGCTCAACAGTGGACAAACTAGATAAGGTAGCCACCACACTTTGCGGCATTTGCTATAATTTCTATTGACTAGCAGCGCAAATCTGAGCCAGACTTTTCACGTGCGGTGCCCTCTGGGGGGGTCTACAGGACATGCTCACGGTCATAACTGGTGTCTGCTGAGAGATTAGCAGCACAGCTAAAAACCAGACAGGATGAAAGTGTTGAGTGTCCTCCTTTTTGTCTGAATAATGAATTGGGAAGTACCGTATTTTCCGCACTATAAGGCGCACCTTAAAAGCCTTCGATTGCGCCTCATAATCCGGCGCGCCTTAAGTATGGATCAGGATGGTCTCGCAACTACGGGAGGCAGCCGCCGACTCCAGTTTATCCCGTAGAAGAGGCAGCGCCCAGTGCATGCTGGGTTATGCGACTGCGCGAAGCGTGCATTTTCATTTCCATAATTTGGAGAGCTACCATATTGTGATTTACCGTAACTGTATCAGACTGTTTTTGTGTTAACTGAATGGAGGAAAAGTTCCCCTCCACTACGTGATAAAAATGTTGCACGACCTATTAAACATTGTTGTTGTTAAAAGATAAACTGTCAGGAAAACACCACGTCACTTCTACTTTTGAGCTTCTACTCTATGCACCCTATAATGTGGAAAATAAGGTAGATGGCACTAGAGCAGGTCTTCATTCAGCCAGCTGTCTTTTGTCATGACGTCCATGCTGTTGTGAGCCGACCCCTCTGTGCTGCTTCTGCTGCAGATGCCCTGGGAGGAGGTTAAACGAGAGATGGTGAACGAGAAGGGTCTGTCGGAGGAGGCCGCCGACCAGATCGGGGAGTACGTCAGCATGAAGGGTGAGACCTCTACACCAGACGCAGGCGGCTCCAGCCAAAGGGGGGAAACAGAGGCTTCAGATGCCCACACGGCACAGAACCCTGTTGGTTTGATCCTTCCAGTATTTTAGCGCCGGCTTTTCCATCAGAACCAAGCCAAATGAAGGACCACTGGACCTGGATCCGCCTTGTGGAGGCACTGCTTTCAGTAGGATGCTCTCTGTGCCGCAGGTGGGATGGACCTGGCCGAGAAGCTCCTCCAGGACCCCAAAATGTGTCAGAGTAAGCAGGCGTGCGCGGGCCTGTCGGACATCAAACTTCTCTTCAGCTACCTGCAGTTGTTCCAGGTCACAGATAAGGTGAGACCCAGCCATCCCCTCTACATTTCCCATACCTGTCCTGTATCCTGTTTAGTAGACGCTCTTTAAATTCGTCATCCCCAGGTTGTGTTTGACCTCAGCCTGGCCCGGGGGCTGGACTACTACACCGGAGTGATTTACGAGGCCGTGCTGTCCCAGGCCGATGTGGCCCCGGCTGCAAACGAGGCCCCGAACGGCACCAGCGTGGAGGAGAGCGTCAGTGTGGGAAGCGTGGCGGGAGGGGGCCGCTACGACGGACTGGTGGGCATGTTTGACCCCAAAGGCAGGAAGGTTCCCTGCGTGGGGGTCAGCATCGGCATCGAGAGGATCTTCTCCATCATGGAGCAGAAGGCCGAGGTGACGTGGAGCCGAAGCCGGATCCGCTGGGCTGCTGGTTGGGAACTACAGGCTGTAACTGCGCTTTGTTCCGCAGGCCTCGGCCGAGAGGGTCCGCACGACAGAGGTGCAGGTCATGGTGGCGTCCGCCCAGAAGAACCTCCTGGAGGAGAAACTCAGACTCATCAGTGAGCTCTGGAACGCTGGCATCAAGGTGCGTTTGTGTGAGCTTTGGTTAGATTCATGAGGCTTGTTCATCTTGTTCCCGCTCAGCGTTTGATTTTTGCCCTCGGGTCAGGGTTCAATCACACCCGTATGCAGAATGCTGAAGAAGCCTTCCTGACAAGCTGATTTGTTTGCACTGAGAACAAAGTGGCCACAAGCTGCCAGAAGAAGCTGAGGGAAGATGCATTTACAGAGGAGAGCTCCAGTCTTTAGGCAGTCACTGAGTCAAGGAAGACTGGAGTGTACCCTGTAACCTCACCCTGTATAAAGGATTCCACAGCAGCAGGACAACCTTTGGGGGGGTTTCATACATTTGTTTGTATAGGTGGTTCATTTTAGTCAGCACAAAGGCAGGAGAGTGTCAGCAGGCTGTGACACTTCTGCCTTGATCTGATTCTTCAACAAGCTATGGCGAGCCAGAAGACTCTGAAGTTTGATTCACTGACCAAACTCACCTTAGATTTACCAAATCCATGAAAATCCAGGATTGTAAAACCTTGGTCTCTTTTCTACAGCACAAAAACCAGAATCTCCCTGTTTTGGACCCAGTGGTTGTCTGAATGGATTGTATGATGTTCGGATTTCCATTAGTTCAACGCAATCATGAGATCTCAAAGCTTTCCCACAAACTTTGTCATGTTGGTGGAACTGTTGCAGCATCGATGTGAAACCTCACTGCTGTGTGTCTTTTCAGGCTGAGGTGATGTACAAGAAGAACCCCAAACTGCTCAGCCAGCTGCAGCACTGCGAGGAGTCCGGCATCCCCTTGGTGGCCATACTGGGGGAACAGGAGCTTAAAGATGGAGTGGTCAAATTGCGAGTAGTGGCCACCAGAGAAGAGGTATGACCGCACTTTGTTGCTTTCAGTGTTAAACACCAGACATCAGCTAGTGAATCCCCTTCTGTGTTACCATCTATGTTTCCCAACTCCAAGCAGGAACAGAGTTCCTCAGGGCTCCGTGTTGGTGCCCATCTTATTGACACAGTGTATGGGTTCTTGTAGGCTATATTTTCCAGGAATGTCTAATCCCACAGAAATGTACTCTTCCTTAAATCATGAGAACTGAACATGTGAGCTTACGCTGCTGTCAGTCAGTCTTCAGATGCAGGCCTGGAATTTCCGAGTCAATCTCATCTGAGATTTGAAAAAGGATCAATTAGGTGGGGAAAATTAGTAAGGTGAAATCCATGCTTTCTTGCTTAGTTGCAGGTATTAAAGAAAGGTAAAGGCAGATAAAATTAGGAGTGTCTCGGACAAAGAGAGCATGAGGTTACCTCAGAGGACTTGTCCTGTCTGGCCTTGTATTTGCTGGTATTCCTACCGTTTGTCAGCTCCATTAATGCTTTCTTTACCTGAACCAGGGTGTGCATCTCCACCCCCACTTTTACCGGTACAGTAGGTGAGAGGCTGGAGGAGCCGATCACTGTGCTTTTCTGTTTTATAAGCTCCTTTCAGGACCCTGCTGCACAAGGCGGGGCTCAGAAAGGAGAACAAGATGTGTGACCTTATGCCCACAGTAGTGTTTACATCCCAGGGTTAAAGCCTCCTTTCTTCCCTTTTCTCCATAGGTCGATATATCCCGAGCTGATCTCATCAGTGAAATAAAGAAAAGGACCTCTGAGGCGTAAACGCTCCCTTCTGTCCAGCTCCAACATGACGCTTTACCCAGGTGGCTCTGCGGTGTACAGAATTCCTCATCCAGTCCTCTCTCCAAATAGGATCCGAGTGCAGCCATGAAAAATGCTGAGCATGTGGAGCTCCTCTCATCCCTCCGTTCTGCCGTGAGCTGAGGCAGAGTGTGCTCCCGGGAAATGTAAAACGCTCATCTGATAGATGCAAGCTCCGTTTGTTCATCTCTGTGTAGCTCATCGAGCATTCGGAGGTCATTTTGGTGTCCTTTCATTTACTTTGATCACAGATTACTGCAAATAAAAGCAAAGTCTGCCCGCCTGTTTCAGAAACTCTGCTAAAATAAACCACCAGTTCTCAACGAGCGTGTGTGTCTGCTTGAGTTCGAGGCGGGAGGCAGACTGCTGTTTACCCTGCAGGGTGTCCTGTTTGCTTTGAGATATTATTAAAATGGTTTCCGAAGCCGTGCACCAGATGAGACGCAGAGATAAAACGTAATAACCACACCCCGCTCATCCTTTCATCCATTAGAGGAACGGCGTCCACAAACCTTTTCAAAGCTCATTTAATTAAAATGAGGAACTCAGAACACCACAGTAAAAAAACATGCAGAAAACACACAGCCAAAAGGGCAAACAGCACACGAGTCCCCTACAACTAATAAAAACATGCAGAAATCAAAGCAACCCTAAATGAACCGAACAGACGGACGGGGCCGGAGCCGGAGGGCCCGTTAGGCGGCGACCTGCTTGTGGTTCAGCTCCTGCAGAACCCTTTGGGCCGCGGCCCTTTCTGCCTCCCGCAGGACGGAGGCAGTGGGTCCCGGCAAGATCATGAGCAGCCCTGTGAATGTGGCGGGGGCCCCGGGGATGCGCACCTCGTACCTGAAGTGCAGGAATCCATCTCTCCCCGTGCCGCTGTAGCGCGTCTGGTAGAGCGGCGGGCCCAGGCCGGACGCCGCGCACATTTTCTGCAGCAGCGCGACCGGGGAGGCGTCCACCAAACGCCCCGGGGGGGCGGGGGGGCCTCTGGCAGGAGGCGGCATGTGAGCGGCAGGCCCCCCCGGGGCTCTGCAGAAGCCGGGGGGAACAGATGGAGAAGGGGCCGGGCGTGGGAGCCGGGCTAGGGACCGGGGACTCCTGTGGGCCGACACAGAATCCTCCGGACTCATCTTCTCTGCCGAGTGCCAATCAATGGAGACGCTCTGGGAAAACTGCTTCTTGAACCCTGGCACACAGAGAGCGGGTAGAAATCTGTCAAGTGAGGAACTGAGGATTAGCAGCTTTTCTTAAGAGCAAAATAAATATATGTTAATGAGAGCAGGCTGTTTGCCTTCTAAACACAAAGACCAGGGTTCAAAATGACCTATTGACTGTGCGCCCGCTTTATTGTCCAGGTTATTGTCCTTGGGGTAGGATGGGTTGGAAAATTAAGTTTCTATATAAAATACAGGGAATCAGCAAAAAAACTAAACGTTTTGGTATGAAATCCATCGTCCCGCCATGCTATCTTGCAGTTTATCATAATTCAAGGCATGACGTTGTTGCGCCACCAAGTGAGAGGAATTTAAAACGTTTTTAATAATATATTACTGCACAGTGACCACAGCGTTCCAGGAGATCTGCTAACAGACCATTTTCTGCATGTTGACTTCCAAATATGACGCAACGTGACCCGAGGCTACGAAGAAATATTCAGATTTAGTCTGCTGGAGCCCACGTGACAGAATAGATCGGGCTGCTACTTTTGGTGGCGGCTGGCTAATACCAAATTCCCACAAATTTCGAATCCTGCAAAGACTTGATCCATTTGCCAGGACAACAGATTAAATAAAATCATAACTGGATGATTGGTGAGCTGCTGTTTTCTATGACTGTACATCTTCACAAACTGAACAGTTATTATGGGCTCAGCACAGTGGCATGTATACTGTCACAGATATGGGCATAACGATGGAAAAGTCCACCTTAGATCGAGCCCTCACATGCTGAGAACATCATCAGCAACAAAGCATCTTTCTAAATGAGCTGAGAGCAGCAGGCAGAAAAAGGCTGTTAGCATGAGGGGAGTCTCCAACCGGTCCGGCATGAGAACGACTCACTGTGGAGTGGTAGTTCAGAAATGAATGCTCCATTTAGAAAAAAATGATTCTCCTCAAATAACCCCTTTCCAGATTAAGTTTTTCCTTTTATCAGAGGCTTCCCAGCAGGTCACTGAACAAAAGGCAAGACTTCGGCTTCAATTTCAAAGCCTTTTTTCCTTGATTGAAAAACCACCCATGGATCAGAGACTGAAACTTGCCTAAACGAAGAAACATGCCCGAAAAACAACAGGTTTTTGTGTGGGAATTGTGCCTCTAACTCGTTTGAGTTGGGTTGCACTACCTTCCACCAGCACCTTCTTGGCCATGGAAGCAGCGTGGTGGGACGAGAAGGCCACTACGGCGGACACGCCCTCGATGCCCGGGCCAGCCGTCAGGGAAACGCTCTGCACGCCGTCCGCCAGCCCACGCAGCACCTGGAAGCACATGGAAGCAGCACGAGACCTCAGGCACACAGACGGGAGGATACGAGAGGGTTCAAGAACATCCCCGACAGCACGGAGCTCCACGTGAACTCGGATTGATTCGGGGATTCTTTCCTCATGCTGAAGGGTTCCTATTACAGACAGACTGTAACTCATCTCACGAAAAAAAAAGTCCTTTCATAGCTGCTGCCTCTAGGGGGACACCTTCTAACTGTATATGGTTAAATTTAATCTAAAATGTTACATTGAAAATGACCTGAAAAGCATTTTCACATTTCAGTCTGCGTTTATTTATTTTTTTGCCTAAGAACTACTTTCATAGTTCTGTCTCATGACATTGTGGTTCTTTTTACAGCAAAGTGCTTTCAGGCAGGGTGAGGGCTGAGTAGAGGGGGGTTTTGGATCCAACTAAAATCTGCCGAGACCTTCCACTGACTTCTTCCATCATTTCCTGGTAGTTCTGCGATTCGATATTTGGCTTTTTAAAAATAATTTTACTGACTTCCTTTTACGCAAACTAAAAACTTGAATGCACTCCAGGCTTAAACTCACTTTTATGCAAAAAACGTTCAAATAAACAACAAAACTATATGTTCGTTGTATTAAAGTTTAAAGTTATTTATCCACTTAGTTGTCAGACTCATGTTGAACAGGGATTGACTCTGATAACCACTTAATGGTTAGGACACAGACCTGTGGGTCAGGAGATGCTAATGCTAATGCTAATGTGGGATCAGACTTTAAAATAAAAAACTGCATCAGGAGTCTGGATTTGCATTTTCTCCTGCTGGCCGATACGCAGTTTTTTGCGAATATCAGCAGCCAATCGGATCCACATATCGGATCGGGACCAGCCTAGAGTGGAACTGAGCTGGGCTGAGTGGGAACTAATGGAAAAGCACCAGTGGTGTCTGTGGTGCTACTCTGTCTCGGCAGCCTGCAGAATACTGGTCAGTTCGTGCGGTCAGGAGAGCAAAACGCGTCAGACCCTCCCCGGAGCGGCCGTACCAGCAGCAGAGCCTCCCGTCGGGTGGAGACGGGCAGCTCTCCGATGCAGAGGTGCCTCTTCTCCGTGCTGCGCCGCACGTTGAGACGGAAGCCCGGCTCCAGCACGAAGCCGTGCAGCTGGCGGATGGCGTCCGTGGCCGTGGCCGCCGTGCCGTACTTGGCGTAGGCGAAGCCCCGGTTCTGCCCGCTGAAGTTCATCATGAGCCGGAACTCCCACAGCGGCCCCACCGAGCCGAACAGGGGGATGAGGAGGTCCTCGTAGGCGTCCCGCGGGATCTGGCTGATGAAGACCTCGCAGCGGGCTCCCGGTGGGGGGCCGTGCCACACTGAGTCGGAGGGAAGATAGAACCTGCTCATGTACGCCGTCAGGTGGTGTCCACATCATTAATCACACATTACATAAAACAGAGTACAGTATGTAAATGATAGGAAAAGATGAGGTAAAGATGCGCATTTCTCTACGCTGACTCAGCACATTCTGCACAAGACTGGAAAATTCTTTCCAGTGGCCGACTTGGATGTGGGCGGAGTTGGATATCCATCCTTGGCTTCCTACAGTCTGCAGCCAGACGTACTGGTCAGTTTGGGTGTTTCTTTTTATGTATTTATTTTACAGTTCACTTTGCCATTCAAAAACATTGCTGAAAAACCAACACGGAAACAGTGCAGTGACTCGGAGCGCTGTACGTTTCACAGCTAAGGCGGTTTTTCTCACCCTCAGGCGGTCCTCCATACTTCCTCTGGCCGTTCACCTGAGACAGCTTTGTGTTGGTGGCTGCCACCCAGGCCTCCAGAGCCTTCACCCTCTCGGCGTTCAGCACCTGAGGAGGAACCTTAAAGCGTTAAACCTCAGTGTCTCTGGACGGCCTCGGGCTGCCCAGAGAAATACGGAGAGCAAAAAGACAGACCTTCTCGCACAACGCCTGCTCTGTTTTTCCCCGTTTTAAACACGTGACGACAAATATCTGCCTTCTGCTGTTGGCCTGTTTCAGAGGTTTACATCCGTTTGCTCTGCTTCTCTCCTCAGAAAATAAACCCATCCGTGGTCACTTACTTTGGTACTCCAAATACACTGTTAGAATTGGCTTTTATTTGTTAATTTTTTCAATTAATTTGTGTAACTTAATAACGGATATGTTCTCTTTACAATTATAATCTTGCACCGAGGTCATATAACCTCTGGTAGTGCTTAAAGGTTCCCCGTACGTCTCTTCTCCATTATAGCATCATGTCATATTGATTTTCAGTGGAGTGTGCATGAATAAAGAGCTGGCCCAGGAGACTCGGTTGTGTTTGGTCCAGCAAAAGAAGATAACTGTACATCACACCTGGCAATCTGGGCTGTTTCTCATCAAAACCCCCAGCTTCATTATTATATACAGGTCATAAGATTAGAATATAATGAAAGGTTGATTTATTCAAGTAATTTCATTTGAGAAGTGAGACTCGTGTATTAAATTAATTCATTACACACAGACTGATGTATTTCAAATGTTTTTTTTTCTTTTAATGTTGGTAATTAGAACAGAGCGTGATGGTGTAAGGAGGAAGCTAACCATCCCTCTAACTGCTGTGAGTTTTTCTCCGTGCAGGGTTACGTGTGGCTCAGTGGACTCACAACTCCCAGATTTACATAGACGCAGTTCCCAGAGGTGTCCCTGATGAATAGAAATTAACTGATCAGATCGCTGCACAGTTTGAGACAGCCCTGTTTTGATAGGTGACCATAAAAAATGTAAAAGAAATCTGGATTAATTATGTTCATGTTAATATTCAAAGGTTTACTTGATCCTGATATGCCATAGCTGGACTGCGTGAACTCTGCTAAGTCTCTGATGACTTAGAAATAAACGTGGATTCTTGATTTTCTTCTAGCTGAAAAAGGTGCCATGTTTTCACATGTGTTCACCCCCAACAACACAGCCCAAGACGGCTCCATAACTCGATCCCTCTCTGGCCTAAAAACTATGTCTGAAGAGTTGATGGACCACTCGGAATATACAATTCCTGTTCAAACAAGTGGAGAATCGGAACAATCTTTGGGTGTTGCACCTTCTCTAACCAAATCTGACACCTTCAGCAGTCACCCGTTTGTTACAAACTTTCACTGTAGATTCTAGAAATGTCTCTTTCCCTCCTTGTCTCGCTTTCAACTTTCTGATTTAATTGTTGACATCAAATATCAGCTCTTCCCTCATATTCTCTCCAATTTCCAGATCTTTCAGTTAAGGTTAGATTTGCTTAGACACTAAATTGAAACATTCTAGGACTGATATATCTGAAATATCACAGTTGCACCACTGTCTAGTAGAGGTGTTAGGAGCCACTGAACACATAAATATTTGTCCAGTTATCCCTAAGTCTTTTCATTGCATTTGCAAAAGGAAATTCTACACAATAGTAACACCAAACAAGCACAAGACCTCTAAAAAGAAGAATCCCTCCATTTTTGGGGTAGAGTTGCAACCCATTGGTTAATAAATTCAGGGCACAGCATTATATTGAAACTAAATTCAATCTAAAAGCTTTAAAGAATTACCTGAAAACCCTTTCTTTCCCCTGAAATCAACATGACTGTCTACAGGCCCTGAAATATACAGAACTATTCACAAGGATTCGTTTGGACTTATGGTGCCATCATTATGGTGGCTTGGCAGATCTGAGTAAACTGTTTTAGGCCTACTCTCATTACACCAAACAGCAAAGAGAGCAAAACAAACGTGATTTATTAGTAATAAATCACGTTTGTTTTGGTTTCCTATCTCTGTTTAGGTATATATCTCCACACATTAACGAGTGGGCTCCGAATTTAAAAAGACCACATTAAAACTACCAATATATCAAACCGGATATGATTTTGTAACTGTTTTGTAACACTAAACATCAACAATAGCAAGAGTCCTGCTTCATTTTGGGGGGAAATCCCAAAGTGAGTAAATAAGCAGCGAGCAAAGTGAGTAAATTAGCACTCGTTAACACAATGTAACCAACTGTTACCGCCACGGCTAATTGGGGAGCTCGCGCCATCCCAGCTGCCTCTTCAAACGACCTGGCCGCTGCTTTTGGGAAAATAAATACCTGGCACTGCCTGTTTTCCATCTTCTCCGCCGCGGTTTGGTGTGTCTGTCGCCTCTCGGACGGCACTCGGTCACGGTGACTTCAGGCCCGCACCTGCGGCCCTCCCACTCGTGGCTCGGACTCGGTGGAGGCTTCACTGACCCCTCCGCTCCGTGGGCCCTTCGCGGGCTCCTGCCTCCTTCTCACTGACGGATACCTAGCGAGAGAAGTATATGTTCTGTTTTAAAACATTTTTAAAAGATAAAATGTGGGTAATTATCTGAATGTCAGGTGCTTTTTTCTTTCAAATATATTCTCTTAATGTAGACGTAATAAGTTTGAAGGTACCTTCAACCTGTTGTGAGTCTAATTACATCAGCTCCACTGAGGTGGTGGGGTGGAGGACACACTTTCATTATTGTACCAGGGGACCTTTTGCTATGACAGCTGTTCGTTATAAAGTTTATAAATGACAGAAACACCTTCTTCTGAACAGGTGTTCCCACTGAAGGCACTGTTCCTTCAGGGGGAACAGTGCCCCCTGTTGGACGAACAAGTTTCCAATCTCACCCATATCTAATCTGATTGAGGCAGTGAAGTTACACAATTTAATTTTTATTTTTTTGGGATTATTGCTAAAGAATCCAAAGATTCACAGCCAACATTCAGGCACAACAATACTGTTTAGTGACATATGGACCACTTAAAACAATACTGGCCACAGGCCTTTTAAAACAAACAATATCTAGTAGATGTTCTGAGGGATGTACCAGACCACAACAAAAATGTAATTCAAGACAAGGTAATGAGAACAGAAATATAATCCACTGAAGCATTTACATTTGAGATGATGATATTACAGCTGCCACGTGTCTCCACTTCTTCCTTTAATACTGATTCACAGGTCTTCGGCCGAGGACGGATGAGTTTTTGGTGGCCGGATGAGTTTTTGGTGGGGACCTGAGCTCAGACACTGTCTCTGTAAACGTTTCATTCCATATTGCGCTAGACTGGCACATGGGTTGGACTATGGGAAAAGACTTTGACTAGTAAGAAGACTGTTGTTTTATTGCTGGCAGATGGAAATCCTGGCTTTTGCTCAGATGATTAGAACAAAAAAAAACAAACAAGCAATGTCAGAAATAGTCTAAACTGCAATCAAAACTTTTACTTGTAATTTGTCCATTGGTTTGAGCTTTAAAAAGACAAAACTCTCAAGTTGCTATTTTCTTTGTTTTTTTTGGCCAATTCAATTTAGCATACGTTCAAAGATTCTATTCAATGTAACAACAATCTGAGAAAAAGTTGTTTCAGAGTCATGTTTGCCATTGTGTTCCACCAACTGCATTGATCAGCTGCATCCATTTTTCAAAAGAATCTGTGTTTTTCTCCCAACAGAGACAGATTTTGATATTTTGACTGCTTGACAGTGCAGCACAAACGTCCAATGGTCCCGTCACAAATTCCAAAACTATTGGTTAGCTGAGACTATTGATTAACTGACTGGAAGTCTAGAGCATGCAGGAAAAAAGCCTTATGGAGGGCCTTTTTTCATGACATGTGAAAGGAACTAATGTAGCCACAAGATGTCAGTGTTGGATGACATTTGAACTGCAGGTGACAAAGTCTGTCTTATTTCATTATGTCATCCCAGACCTCATACTACATCCATCCATTATTGTAACCGCTTATTCCCTAATGGGGTCACAGGGGGACCCCATTGACTACTATTCCAGTAGTCAATAGGGGGAGAGGCGGGGTTCACCCTGGTCAGTCCATCACAGGCTCACACAGAGACACACAAGGACCAACAACCACATACACTCACTCCTAAGGGCAGTTTGGAATGTCCAAAATCAAGCTAACATGCAGGTCTTTGGACGGTGGGACGAAACCGGAGAACACGGAGAGAACCCACACAGACACAGGGAGAACGTGCAGACTCCACACAGAAAGGTCCTGCTTCCCTCGGGGACTAGAACCCTGAACCTTCTTGCTGGGAGGCGATGGTTCTAACCACCTCACCACCGAACCGGTGGCTATCATACGCTAAATAAATGTTGAGGATCGAGGACATCGCCTACTATTTATCCCACACAAAATAAAAGCAACATGCATTGTTAGAGAGTCGAAAAGACTCTGATTTTCATGATTATGTTTGGCTGGGGTGTTGTGTTGGTTGAGTCTGAGATTGGGCTGTGCAGGCTCTCTAGAGGAGTTTGATTTGCTCCTGCGTCCAGACTCGTTTGGCATTACGCCTCATCGGGACTCTCTGTTCAGCATCAACTGGAAACAACCATTCTTTGCCATGTTGGCTCTCTATCTTTGTGGTGATACGGCTGATTTATCTTTTTAGTAGTTCCCCAGTTTATGCAAAACCAATCCCTGCAACTTTTTGTTGTCCTCTATTTATTTTTTTCTATTTGTTTTAGTGACTGACAGCAGTAGTTTCTTGGAGTTGACGATGAAAAGTGCAGTTATGTTTGTAAGATAAGTGTATTCTAGTGCTAGAAAATGGAAAAACTTATTTTTTTCTCCAAAGGGTGCAGCCAAAAGATTCTTTAGGGAAACAACACATCTATAAAGGTTCTGGGAGGGACTAATTGCATGTACAGGAGTTTTTTGTTGTAGTGTGGGTAATGGTGTATTGTTTTCTGATTTTATTAATTTATCTGAAGGGTAATTGGCAAGCAGTTTTAAAAACATGTCAGCATTGATTCAGTTTCGTTCATGCCATAGCAGAAAAACAACAACCTGCTAATTGTAGGAGCCCAGATGACACATTAGTAACATTTTAAATAAGGTGCTAAATCAGATCGGAGAGTGTTACTGCTGCTGATAATGTGTCCTGGCTACTAGTGGTGTCCAGATGCCGAGGCCCAGGCTGCAGGAAGATGATGACAAGAGCTGAGAAGTACGGGCAGGAGGAGCCAGATTAGGGAGCTGGCTCATCTGCAGATTTGGAACAGGACCAGAGGAGCTGGGTGAAGTTGGCCATCCTTCCTTCTTCAGGTCTAACAAAATGGGTGTCAAATGTTGGCGCGACAAAAAGTTTAGTTTGTGCTGCTTTCGTTTTAGATATATGCCAGTGGTCATCAATCTCTACAATGCCTCTCTCAGAGAGTCAGACACCCCCCCTCTGTAAATTATTACTAATTTATTGGCATTATCATTATCACTTATTTTAGATCTATATATAAAATATAGTTACATATGTATATATTTATATTTTGTGTGGAATTTTGTATATATACTGTATATATGTATATATTTATAGACATGTATATATGTATATGCTGTTGTATTTCTGGAGTTAGTAACAAAAATAATTTCCCTCTGGGATTATTAAAGTATTTCTGATTCTGATTAATGAACGCTTAATGGTCTACTGGCCCTTCCACAAGGAATGTGTCAGGAAGGTGGGTGTTGACGGAGGACTCAGTTGCGGAGATGAGGGGAAACAAGGTTTATTGTACACAAACAGAGTGAATGTCCAGACAAAGTACAAATCAAAGCTGTGGAAAACTGTGATCAAAGTATCAAAGCAATAGCAAACAAGACTGTGGCAAAACTATGACTGTGACAAAGTAACAAAGTAAAGAATGACAAAACTGTGGCAAAACTGTGACTATGACAAAAACAAAAGACTATGGCAAAACAAACCTGGCGTGGGGGTGACGATGGACAAGACGGACGAAAGGACAAGAACGCACTCGCACAAGACAAGGGGAAACGAGGACTATTTAAACACATGAGGGAGGGAAACCCCAGGTGTACACAATAGGTAATCAAGACGAGACGAGACACCAGACGTGACAGAATGAAATCCAGTAATTGTAAGAAACAAGCTTTGGACCTTTTTTAAAACTTTTTTTTTTTACCATTATTACACCTGAAAAAATTCAAACTAGTTAGAATACTTTTAGTTATAACACTTTTATAATAGTCCAAATAAACTAGGCAGTCTAATGGAGTTTGTTATTTATTTGCAGCCTGCAAAATACAAAACTATCAGAACATTGTAGGTACGTCTCATGTTGAGAAAAACAAAACATGAGATGTCTTTGCCCCTCAAGTTTAACACAATTACTCTAAAATGATAGGATGTTCCATTATCTGAACCACAAAATAAAATGGAAAAAGCACTGTCTTTGGTGAAATCCTCATGCCTTTGTGTAGAGCACAGCATGAGGTTTGCCTCCATCTTTTCTCAGGCCATCATACATCTGCCAGGTATGGGCTCCTTTTACAGAAGGTCAGATAAGGCCCAAGTGTGTCTGGTGTTGTGTCCAAACAGACCACGTGCACAGCATCTTATGAAAGTCCTGCTGTCAGACAAAGAGCAGGACCTGGGATTGGTCTTAAAGCATGGAGATGCTGCACAGTCGAGCCCTTGTTCCACAGCAGACTAAAGGTGAGCCATGCCAGAAGCAGAGAGGCCTGACAAATCTATGGAGATGAAGGGTATTTGCCTCTTGTTTGCTGTGGAAAGTTTGCAGTACCAGGAGGAACGCTGTTCTGTGAGGTGAACGCGTGGATTTTCCATCATTGTTTTCTGAATTATTGTGGACACACGGCGCTGTGCATCAACGTGATGGACACCTGACTTTAACCGAACAGGGCAGAGTTTTGAACGTGGAGGCTCTGCCCTCAAAGCACAAGTATGCTGAGTGACACCCTTTGAAGCTGGAGATGTCAAGAGCTGGAATACTTTATTCTCCTCTGAGCTATTTAACACGTTTTGAGCAGAGAGACGGAAAGCACCGCGCAGGCCTTGACAAAAAGGCTTCAAAAGCACAGGTGTTCATCACACTGTATTGTTCCCGGCCAAGTTTGATTGGCTGTTGATTATTTCCATTTTTAACAGCCCTACTTTAACTGTTTTCCTTTTCCTGAGTGGAGCCATTCAGGACTTGTGGAGGGGTTTGAAGTTAATTTACTCTTATTTGGAGGGACTGCGAAGCTTCTCCAGTTTTCTACAGCTGCCCTTCTTCTTGCTCCATGTTTGTGACAGTTTTGGGCTCCAGGGAGGGGTATCATGCGTTTTCTTGCTCCACAGAAACTTCGTCTGGATCCTGGGGATGCACCGTATTGCCTTGTTCAGCAACCTCTGCTTCTTCTGTTTGTTTTTGCAGAACAGATCCTCATGTGGCATGTGCAATGAATGTATCCACTGCACCCTTATAGGAAGAAAGTCATGCTTGAA